ATGAAAATTTCTTTGAAATTAAAATATGTTTTTAAAGTAAAAAAATCTTAATTTCAAAGAAATTGATCCAAAATTGAACAAAATGTTTTAAAATGTACTCTCTAAATCTGAATCAGTGAATATAGTCACTAATTATCCAGTGGTATACTTGGTACCGATAATCAGTGAAGTTCAACTAAAAAAGAAAGAACGTTTAAGCATTATATAACTAAAATACTGATATTTTTTCAAGTTAATTTCAATTTTCCAATACAATATTCATTGAATTTAAGCATTAAAACAAGGTTAGTTAGATCACATAATAAAGATTAGCTAGGTTAGGGATCTCACATTTAATTCACTGATTACCAGTGGCATACTTGACACTGATTCAGATTTAGAAAGTACTTAAATTCTAACAATAAGATGAATGAATAATATATGAGTCAATTTAACATATAAATTTTAATTTTACTGAAAATCTATCTTTTCATGGTTTACTTACAAAACTGTGTCAATATTCCTCTTTTTTGTATTTATTCTTTTACATAATATTTGTGTAACCTTCTAACATATTCATCTTGTTGTTAAATTAACCCAAACAGTTCGAGTGGACCTTTTGGGACATGCGATTTATGTTAAATTCGACACGTTTTTTTTCAACTGTGTAACACGGAAAATCGGAGATTATAATAAATAAAGTTTCCAAGTAGCAAGTGGCATTATTTGTTATTATTTCGACATCAAAGTGACATCTTTGATGACATTTTGACGTCAAAATGATGACACATAACGTCACCTTACTATCTAATTAGTACAAATTTAACTGGTTTATATTTATAGTGAAATTACCACACGTGATTAATAATACAGTCAACGTAGGCGCGAAATGTAATCGAGTTATTTCACAAATGGTTCTTATTCTGTGACTGCCGTCTCCTAGCTCGAAATCACGGCATCACGAAGGTAAGATGATGGAAAGCAAGGCCGCGCCGCGTCGCCGGCCATTCATCGCACTCTTGGAATTCGTGTCAATCGCGTGTAATCCGGACGATCTGGAGGATCTAAGCGTGCGGGGGAAGAACTCGTGCAATGTGCCGTGAGGTACGTCATTCCGCGCATTCGTCTCGTCATTCCGTGACATCACGGCACCATGTGTACCGCGAATATCTCGCCGTCATTGTTCGGCGTATCGCTCACGTGTGACTTATTGCACGATAAACACATCTGGTCCCCTTCGTTCAGATAGAATTAGCTCCCTTGCCAAGTCAGTGTCAAGGTGATCGGTCGTTTAGATCCCACCATCGGTCGTGTTGATGGACGTATTCATACACTACGGTGACATACCTAGTTTGACATTATTTTCGCCGTAAACACGTATTTGATGGCGTACTACAACAAACAACATATGTAGGGTTGATGTGCGCGATAATCCATTAATTTTACAAATACACCTCGACTTGTAATAAAATTGTAATAAAAAGAACTGTAATTTAAAAAAATTACAATGAAAAGATTTCGTAAATTTAAAAATATATGCCGACTCCTTTTTATTTTACGATTGAATTAAATAATGTTAATTTTACTATCCAAAAATAATGTATAATAATATAAAAGATAAAGTATAATGAAATACCACAAAGAGAATAATTCTAATTAAGTATGAAGGATTTCTATTTTCGAAAGCAGATCTTAAAGGGTTTAATTATTTAACGTGAATTTATATACATCTGTATTTCCACAAATCGCGTGCCGAATTTTCTGCAAACTCGAAACGCATTTATGCATAAAATCAGAATAGTAATATTACATATTAAATTCTACAAGCGCGCGCAATTTAATAATTTTGATACTAATAAGCATTTAATAAGTACAAGAATCGTTTGAAAAGTTTTGAGCCTAACATAGAAACAAGTATTTTTTCGGTCAAATTCAGTTTTATTTTTCAACATAGTCTCCTTTTAAGTTTTAATACATTTTTCCCAGCGATGCTCTCATTCCTTTAAATCTCATTCAAATAATAGTTAGCGTGTTGTTCTGCAAAATAGGCTTCTACGGATGTAATCCACTATTTTAACTGTTTCTTCGCTCAGGAGTGAAGTAGTGGATCCAAGTTTCATCAACAGTTATTAATCGACGTAAAAAATCCGACTCGTGTGTGCGTTTCGCTTAAACCGCTCCAACAGAGTCTTGGAAATGTATATTCGATTTTTTCCATTTTTACAAAATCACTGACATCGATTGGCACAAATGAACTGTCAAACAACAATTGAGTGTCCACAATGGCTACAATTTTCACAGATATCTTTCAAAATATGTACGATTGTAGTACCAGAATGGTTTTGACGAGTAATGCCATCTTTATGTTGAGACTCAAAACTTTTCAAACGACCCTCGTATATTCATTATATGATGTTAATAATTAATCATCTGAATAAAAGATAAGAACTATAACTAAAAGAAAATACATGCGATTTTATGGAAGTTACATGTTCATGACTGGAAAATTACCTAAATATGATTGGAAATTTACAATTTCCAATCATATTTAAGCAATTTAGATAATTTTCCAGTCATAAACATGTAATTTCCATGTAAAATTACATGTATTTTTTTCAGTGTACACTATCTATTTCACTCTCTCCCTCTCTCTCTCTCTCTCTCTCTCTCTCTCTCCTCTCTCTTCTCTTTATCGCTTTCTTTCTTTAAAAGAAATTTTCAAAATATAATTTATTTTGATACCATTAAGTACATGTAATACACATAAATATAATATTGCTGTTCTATTTTCGAAGTTTTATTGCTTTTTGTTGACAACTTTGTTGATAATTTTATTAATAGATATTTGTGTTCGTTAGATAAAACCCGAGTGATTGAAATTTTAATAATTATTTAAATTTTTATAATTACTTATAAGCACTCATTTTCTCACTATTGCGAATTGGTACATCAACGAATGTAACGATCAATTTTTAATGAGCTTTATGGGCTGCAACTTGACGAACGTGCAATGATCTCAATTGAATTCAATAAACATCAATTAATGTAATCTTGATTTGCTATGTCATGTTGCTTTGTCATGTTGTCATCACATATGTACGCATGCGAATAGGTCAATGCGTATTAATAACTTGAGATCCTTTATTCCGTGAAGTAACGAACTGCAATTGCTGCGAATGAATGATACATCAATTTTTTTTATTGAACCTAGATTAGAAAATTATAATGAATAGACAAAAAAATAAAACCTTTGGAGTTGCAACATAGTTCCTCAGTAACATACATGAAAAAAAAGGTTTTACTAAAGTATTAATTTAAAAATTTAGCTGGATACAGATCTGAAAGTAATTTTATTAGACTTTAAAAATAATTATGTAGGACACCTCAAACTAGTTTTTGCAGCATTCAGTTTTGCATCTCATCACACTTTCCTGATTATTTAAATGATCCAATAAAATTATTTTCAGATCTGTATCCAGCTAAATTTTTAATACTTCAGTAAAATCGTTCTTTTTGTGTAATATTGGATTGCCATTTTTATTACTAATTATTACGGAGCATACAAAAAGACTTTCTTAAATCAATTATAATATGCTCATATATAAGCTCATATATATATATAAGCAAAACTATTATAATCCTGCTTCAAAGATTTTAGTCTTGATTTGATTGAATTTGTGTTGATGCTAGTATTACTTTGCACTCAATTCAAGACTTGCTTAATAAAAAATTTTGCATGAATACAAATTCAATCAAATTAACATTAAAATCTTTAAAGCAAGATTATATTTGTGCTTTCATATATATATACATATTATATACTATATATACACATATATATGAGCATATTATAGTTGATTTAAGAATAGTTTTTTTTTTGCAAGAGAGTATATTAATGATATAATGAATATATGTTTAAAAAATTGTAATTATAAAATTTTTTCTTGGCATAAATAAAAATGAGATCGAAAATATATCGATTCTTCTTATCAGATAATCTGCGTGATAAGAGTTTGGAAGAAAAAAATACTCGAATCTAATTCGTCTATTACCAATGTTATCTAATACTAATAAATAGAGCGTTATCTAATACTAATAAATAGAAAATAAACGCAAGATAACGAGATAACGAAACGTTTCTTATCTAACATAATAGTTTCGAAGTCATCCGAGTCAAAATCAATTGGACAAAAACTGATCTAGTTTATTATTATAGCTAACTCATCACTTTCTGAACTCTATAATATTTTAAGAGCTAACTTTAAAAATATTTATTGATTTTATTCATTTGTCTCAAAATTTATTAATAGAATTAAGAGCAACACTTTTACATATTTTGTATTTCTTTTCCAGTTATATGAAAATGATTTACTAGGTAAAAGGTTACTTTAAAAAAAAAAAAAAAACAACATGAAGGCAAAGTCAGACTTGTGCACAAGTAGTTTGTATTAAATTTTCCTAAAACTCACATGAATCCCACATGTCTCAGACAAGAAGATTGCACGGTTAGTAATTTTTATTCGCACGACTTGACGAGAACCGACACTCGTCGAACAACTTATCGAGCATTTCATCAAAGATAAAACCCGAATTAGCGCGATATAAAACGGCATCTATAATGAGATTTTAAGGCCTAAAATGTAAACTTTTAACTCTTAAACCGTAAGAAACTGACCAATCATAATAGATTATTCTCCTTCTTTTTGTTCTCTGTAATGTTTGTATTCTGTAATGGTCATTTTTTTACAGCTTAAGACTTAAGCTTAAGTTTTATGCCTTAAAATCTCATTGTAAATGTCGCTTAAAATAACACTTAACATCATCGTAGGACCGCAAAAGGCGTGCAAAATTAAACGATCGCTGGCACAGAATAAACGAGCAATCGGAAACAAGATGGAGGTGGAGGGGTACACCATGCATGGGAGTAAAGATTTTAGTATGAAGGAAGGGGGGAGACCCTCTTACACACAGGATTTATATATACGAGCGATCTCGCGCGGGCCTTTACAAGTCGCGTCGTACGCTCGGCCGAACCGGTCGGTTTACACAGTGATCACGGCTTCGCGTTTCCGCGGGAAACGGCAATTTTGTAGGAAGAATCGTCGCGGATGTACCGATTGTTATCAACATAATCGGTCACTTCTAATGGTGAGCTTGATTTTTTTACGAAACAAAAAGATGATCGCATCGGTTGACAGTAATGGAGTACTTTAAGTCGTGTACGAGCTACAATAGACAGTGTTATCACGTGACTCGCGCACTTTATCGTTGCTCTCTATCGTTATTACATTATAAATAACGATATCAATATGGTTGCTGATAGTGAAACAATGTGATAATGAATTTCACTGAAAAATTATTTTATCGAAAGAATGGTTTTGCTGAAGAATTTAATAGTTTAATTAAATGCAGATCTAAAAATAACTTTGTTGGACCATAAAAATAATTATGTAGAACATTTAACGTTGATAATGCTGTGGAAAGTTTTAACATTCTACACAATTATTTTGTTATACACAATTATTTTGATGGTCTAAAGAAAATTATTTTCTGGTCTGTATCTAAATAAGTTTTTTCCATGTTGAAATTGAGAAAAGAATTGTATGACAATCAATAACGTATAATTCAACTTGTAAGTTAATGCGCAACGCAATACTCGAAAGAATAAAAAATTAAGTGCAAAAAATAAAATAAAGAATAATTCTAATAACGCGAAATATGATTATAGCTGCGAGTGTTACAGAAACTTATTCTTTTCAACTTACTGTCTAAAGAACTATATTTTCTTTAGCCACAAACTCCTAACTACAATCATCCGCAACAAAACTAGAAAACTTCATGAACTCAAGATCAAGCTCAAGGACTTGGAGCATCGGAAACCACGGGAAAATGCAATCGGCAAAGCTTCAATTGGAGATTAAAGTTGAGATCGTCGTTCAGTGATCGCGTTTATCAACAAGCTGGATCCCCTTCACGGTGCCGAGTCTATGATCGAAAGCGTTTGCTCACCGGGATGATAACCACATGGTTTTAGATGTAATAGAATCAAGAAATCATTTCAGATAATTTGTATTCTTACAAATTCAATTCTATCGATCGGTCGATAACGACATAGTGGTATGTTTCTTGATTTTATTTCAAATATGAAATATTAAATCAAGCTGGAATATATAAATGTAATAAAATAATAGTATAATAAATTTTTGAAATCTAATTATAAAATTTTTAATATAAAATTTGTAATTTTGTGATTTTTGATAGAACTTTTCATAAAATTTATATGTGCTGTTTAAGAAAAATATTATTTAAAAAATTTGTAAGCACGTTTTAAATATGTAGAAAAATTTTCTTCTTTTTTTTATATATAAATGTCTCTCTCAAATCATATTACTTCCAAAATTAATGACTAATGTAATAAAGCAGACAAGTTTAAATCTCTGTCGTTCAAAGTCACTCAAAGAAACATTCTTTCTGTCAATGAATGAAAATTTTTGACGCGGACTCCCTCTAGATTTCTGATTACGAGCACACATATTTCAGCGGCCTTTAATAAAAAGCTTCTCGTTACAGACGATCTCGTGAAGTCAGTTGTAACGCGTGCAGAGATTGGATGTCTCTGCATCTCTCGATGGTAGATTTTAACTGTCACGGCTGAGCGAAATTTGACAGGTGAGTGAACGTTGTGGCGCAAACTTTTATCGGTAAATCAAGGACGATAAAAACCGGCAGTATGCGTCGTAATAATCGTGATTGCTCGTGAAACAAACTGAAATAACGCTACAGATAATGAACGGCGCGACAATGGCGGAAATAAGCCGAGCAAAGCGAATTATTACGATGCTACCTACGCCTAATCTGTAACCATTACTGGTACCTCAATAGTGAAACACATACACTCGCATTCTTTTCTTTTTAGATGAAACATGGTTGTAATAAATTTTGACTCGCCTTCCGTTAGTTACATTTAGCAGAAAAAGCAACTTTGCAATTGTACAATTTTTTATTATCATTAGTTTTTGCCCTTAGTTAACTCCTCACAAGATCTAATTGTAAATGTATAAACCAATCATATTAAAGAATATTACAATAATTGTAAAACGGCTTTTTCTGCTGAACGCAGCTATTATTCGCGGTTCTCTATTTATGATATTATTTATATATGTATATTGTGGTTTATACATATAAAGTTTCTTTCGCGTGGTTTCACTGAAGAAATGTTAAAAGCGAAACATCAAAAGTATCATTTAAACCATCTATGTTTGAGAGGGAATGCGTGGCGAGAATTTTGCACCGCACGCATTTACGACAAAGCAATTCGTCATTTTCGTCGATCGCTCAATGATTTAATTTCCGCGAAACTAGCCGTGAAATCAAAATCGATCAGTGGCAAAGGGGAAAGGGGACCTATCACTCGGTGTCGCGAGATCGACCATCGGCAAACGTGTAGTTATTCGAAACCAGGAAAAACGAGGGCATTGAATGCGGTTGCAAATAGGCCGTAAGTCATTGGCACAAAACACGTTTTGCACACATACAATAAAACGCGCATCACTGATTTTCGTAAATTGCGGAAATTTCTCGCGCATCCAGCGATTCCTGTGCTCGTGATTCTTGCTATAAATATTCGCAATATTATTACCTACTTGAAAAAATATTGAGCGAGAGATGTCGACATTAAATAATAATTAATTGTGTCAATCATTTTTAGATAACAAAATCACTCTCGTATATGATAAAATTAAAAGCTTTAAATATAGAGCCTGTTTGAGATTTCATATTCTGCGATAACTTTTATTATGATTACAAAAATTAATTAATTATTTTAAGTTATTAATTGTGAGATAATGTTAAAATCTCTTTGATACATTTTTACAAAAATATTTGATATCTGATTGTATAATATAATATATAATAAAATTTGTAAATTATATAAATATATATATAATGTGGATATCACAGGATATTGCGATAAAATAATATTTTAAATATTCAATATTTTAATGAAATAACACAGTGTATTTAGGAATTAAATTATAATTAAATACTAATATTTTACAGAAAAATGCATATGTGCATATGCAAATATGCTTTATTTAAAAAATAATACATATTGAGTGTATTTGTATAAAAACTTTTCAAACACACACACACACAGAAATGCTTAGTCATTCTGTTGAGTATCACAATCGCATCGCTGCATCAAATGAAGCTCATTATCGTTACATCTCAATCGAATATTGCGTCGATATATATTACTCAGCGACTCTTCGCGATATGACGAAGGAAGTGGAGATCGAGTATTATCATGAATTTGTATGAGCACATCGCACGTGAACAAGTTATTTAACCATGATAATTGATCGCCCGTTATTATCGATAAAATTTTAAAACAAAAGGTGTTTTCTATTTGATGATACAAATCGACACAAGAGTCGTTCTATCTTTGTTATTCATTGAATTCAAATAAGATAAACGTGTAGTCAACTTGTGTCATTAAATGAAAAGCACCCAAAGTCTTTAATAGTCGACAATAGAAAGTGTCTTATTGTAAAAACATTGCAACTTGCAACTTCAAAATTTAACTGACAGAATTTTTTTCCATTCTAGTTACTTCGGTATCACGTTTCACCGGCACAATATCGTTACTGTCGTAGATGGCTTTTTGAAAATGGAATAAAATGATAAAATTTCAATGAAGCCATTTATACTATTTCGCAAAAAACTGCCGGTGTGCATCAAACGTCACTAAAAAATAAATACTTCTAATCAACGAAAAAGGCCAATTGTCGGCATTACGACAGCACGTGAACATCACCAAGAAAGATGCATAAATATTGGCCAGTCGTGCCAGTCGATTAATCCGCGATTCCGTCGATATTGATATTAAAAACTCAATAAATTGTGAATTATTCATGAATGCACCGGGATCGGGCATATGGGCTTACGCGAGCTTTTTAACTTCTTCTCATACTGGCTGAAACGACGCTTTATCGACGCTATAGAATAGCGACAAAAAGCACGCGCGCGGCACATCGCACGAACACAGTGTTAACGACGCAAGTTGTTTTTGTTGAAAATTTTGCAACATCGCCTACAGCGTACCGTAAACAAAACTGCACTATCCGCAACAAATGGAAATTTTGCAACAGATCCGATATGCAATACACGATTCGCGGTACCGTTACGAGATACCACATTCGTATTCTATTATTAACCCTTTCGTTATAGCCGTCTCTACACATTATACGAGCCGTGCACATACTTCAAAGCGATTGCACCTAAAACATATATGACTGTCTTAAATATATCGTTATTCTTCACGATAAGAAGAGTATCGAGCATGGAATAAACAAAGTCTTTTTAAATGCTGTGATATCTATCCGAGGGAGTAACCATTTAATGTAATCGTGGGACAGAGTCCTCGAAATCATAAAATTCATATGAAATCTCTATGTATAATCCAATAATTACATATGCAACCACGAGAAATCATTATATAATATTAAATAAAATCGTATATTTTACCAAATTACTTCGTAGTGAAAAAAATTATTTGTAATCAGATGAAATTATATGAAATCGTGTAATCTGTGGAACAGTATTTCAGCTAGTGGTTACCCCTTCCTGGTGATATCGATAAATGTATATCGTATTGTATTACTCATCGTTTTAAAATATGAGTGCTCCATATGTATCAAATGACAGTTCATACTACACGGAAGTCTCTGCGTAGCGGGCGACTGCAATTGCTTAGTAACGAAAGGGTTAAGCAATGAGAGAGAAGATTGATCTAGAGTATGAAATCGTAGAGTACCAATTTTTTTTACCGGATACAAGGATTTCAACTGATACAAGAAAAGATATTCCTTACGTAAAACCAGTGTTATTTTATATGTGTATTGTTTCATTCTGCTTAATAAATTATAGGTAAAAATTTAATATTATAAACATTTTTTAATGTTTGTCATAAATTACTATAATATTTTATAAATTACTATTAATAGCACATAAAAACTGAAATACTTATTTTGTTTATATACAACAAAATAAGAAAGAATTGAAACTGAACATCAAACAGGAAGAAGAAAGTATGAGTAGATTACAGAGATATAATATATAACGGAAGGGGGGGAATGGTTTTGCCGAAGTACTTAAAAATTTAACTTCTAGATACAGATCTGAAAATAAATTTTGTTAGACTATAAAAATAATTATATAAGTAATACTAAAAACTAATTGCTAGAATGTCAAATTTTTTTGTATCTTTACCGATCATGCTTGAGTTTCCTATTTTGATGGTCTAACAAAATTATTTTCAGATCCGTATCTACCTAAATTTTAAAATATTTTAGCAAAATCGTTCTTCCATATAGGAAGGCCAAAGACGTACAATAATTATATTTTTCAACTGTTCATTTCAACGATAACTAAATAACGCATTGTCGATAAGAAAGTTATCGATGAGTCAGAACATCGATAATCACAGAATTATGAAACTGGACGTATGTTGCTACCTGCTATTTCTATACAATCGTACTAAAACAAATTACAATGACATTGTTCTTGTACCAATAATTAAAAAATGACAAATTCAGAGAAATTTAGAGAAAACCATTCTAATAGGGACAAACTTTACTTAGGGACACAAAGTTCAATTCTATGATTGTCCCTGAAAAACGGAGATGTTCTACAGTAATCTTAGGGTCATGAGACAAAAAAGTCTTAAGCAATAAAACGTAAGCAGTAAGTGAATTGGTCAATTACACACTGAGAGAAATGTTAATGAAATAATGTTTTGGTACGTATGACTATTATTTATTTTGTTAATATGTGACTAATAAAAACTTTCTTACTTTTTGATTAAAAAATTGTGTTGTTCAAATAAAAATTTAGTTATTTTAGTCAAATTTTGATTAGAGAGTAACACAATTTTAAATAAAAAATAAGAAAATTTTTGTTAATCACATGTCAATAAAATAAATGATTATACGTACTAAACATTTCTCTCAGTGTAGTATAGAGACTGCAAGGCCATAACATAAGCATGTAATCCATGTTGATTTTCTTACTGTTACTGCTTAAGTATTTTGTGTGCCATGGTCTTTAATCTAACTGCGTTACAGCCTGTCGAACTCTGAAGGCGATTTAAATTCTCTTGACAGTCAAGGTAAAATGGACAAATAGTAACTATCGTAGATAAAATATTATTAGCCGAGATAAAAATGTTATTAGCATTCGTAGCCTTCGTTCTTGATTAGCGTAGTGTTGCGCACCGCATTATTATGCAAGCTATTGACATTGCATTTGACAAGGAATTTTCTCGTATCGAGCTCAAAGTATCACGCAATCTTTTCATCAGAATAGAAAAACAAAATGCGCAAATTCTCGTGAAATTTTTGTCAAAAAGAAGTGTTTTGGATTAAATAGAAACCGATTCGAATGAATCAACGAATCTACTCGGAAAATGATGCGATGAAAATGCAAAGACGGCAAATCTATTAGCGACGATTCTACAGTGATAAATAATAAATAAATAATTATTGCCTAAGACTTGCTTCTATTAATATCGCGAGCTTTCTTATTCTCAGCGCCGAGGAGTGCGTCCGTCAAACGCGTGGCATGTTTCTCGCGTGCAACGCGATATCGATCGGTCACGAGACAATGCCCGA